AGATGGACAGTTCACCAATTTAAAATGTCACTAAGTGATGTGTAGAGATGGACAGTTCACCAATTTAAAATGTCACTAAGTGATGTGTACAGATGGACAGTTCACCAATTTAAAATGTCACTAAGTGATGTGTACAGATGGACAGTTCACCAATTTAAAATGTCACCAAGTGATGTGTAGAGATGGACAGTTCACCAATTTAAAATGTCACTAAGTGATGTGTACAGATGGACAGTTCACCAATTTAAAATGTCACTAAGTGATGTGTAGAGATGGACAGTTCACCAATTTAAAATGTCACTAAGTGATGTGTAGAGATGGACAGTTCACCAATTTAAAATGTCACTAAGTGATGTGTAGAGATGGTCACTAAGTGATGTGTACAGATGGTCACTAAGTGATGTGTAGAGATGGACACTAAGTGATGTGTAGAGATGGACACTAAGTGATGTGTAGAGATGGACAGTTCACCAATTTAAAATGTCACTAAGTGATGTGTACAGATGGACAGTTCACCAATTTAAAATGTCACTAAGTGATGTGTAGAGATGGACAGTTCACCAATTTAAAATGTCACTAAGTGATGTGTAGAGATGGACAGTTCACCAATTTAAAATGTCACTAAGTGATGTGTAGAGATGGTCACTAAGTGATGTGTACAGATGGTCACTAAGTGATGTGTAGAGATGGACACTAAGTGATGTGTAGAGATGGACACTAAGTGATGTGTAGAGATGGACAGTTCACCAATTTAAAATGTCACTAAGTGATGTGTAGAGATGGACAGTTCACCAATTTAAAATGTCACTAAGTGATGTGTACAGATGGACAGTTCACCAATTTAAAATGTCACTAAGTGATGTGTACAGATGGACAGTTCACCAATTGAAAATGTCACTAAGTGATGTGTAGAGATGGACAGTTCACCAATTTAAAATGTCACTAAGTGATGTGTAGAGATGGACAGTTCACCAATTTAAAATGTCACTAAGTGATGCGTAGAGATGGACAGTTCACCAATTTTTAAAAAAAAAACGTTTCCTATTGACACATTAACCTCCCATGGTAATATTGGTAGTCGTGTTTCCTTTCATTGGATGATTAAAAACTAAGAGAAAGAGAAGTAGCTGTACAGATAATTGGTTCAGTATATCACTGAATAGACGAGAGGAAAAAAAAAGTTTTAGCAAAATGGCTTTTTTTCATTTGTCCATCGCAATATTTAAATTTAACAATAAATGGTTGACTCTGACACAGAGCGACCTCTATGAGTTATGACATTAGGTAAAGGTAGTTAATAAAGAGGAACCTAGAAATTTGAAGGGACCCCCAAAATTTTGACTGCCTTGGAGCCTACAGGTCTTAATCCGACATTGTTTGGCATATATCAGGCTGCTACTGCTAAGTAAAACATGCATGGTATTAAAAGCTGTAAACTAAAAGGCATTCTAACAAATGTGTTGAGACATAGTAGTACTAAATATAATTTAATACAAATGTGTTGGAGTTGGGATATACCTTGGTAGAGTCGTACTAAATATAATACAAATATTTCGGGATGTAGTAGTTCTAAATATAATACAAATAGGTTGGTATGTAGTAGTTCTAAATATAATACAAATAGGTTGGTATGTAGTAGTTCTAAATATAATACAAATAGGTTGGTATGTAGTAGTTCTAAATATAATACAAATAGGTTGGTATGTAGTAGTTCTAAATATAATATAAATAGGTTGGTATGTAGTAGTTTTAAATATAATATAATACAAATGTGTTGGGATATACCTGGGTAGTGGTACTAAATATTATACAAATATTTTGGGATGTCATAGTTCTAAATAAAATACAAATATGTTGGTACATAAAAATAGTTGTAATATAATATAAAATAAAAATATTTTGTGTTATA